TTGAACAGACAGTGAAAATTATATCTCAAATTCTTCCTTTTAGAAAAAAAAACAAACTAAGGACACATGACATTGCCTCTGGGGAATTTCTGTCACTTATTTAATAAACTAATACATTTACAGCCAACAGGGCACGAGGCATCTAAAAGTGATGTGCTAACATGCAAACTACTGAATGTGTGCCATATTTTTTAACTTTACTTGTTGACCACTTCACTTCTTAAAAGTCCACGGGGCATTGCTCAGGATGTGGGAACCCAGGGTTTAAAAGATAATAAATGTGTGTTGGTATCCAGAGGTGAAAAACAGCCTGACCGCACTGCTGTCACAGGGAAGCTGCATTTCTTAAAAGAATGGCACACTTGTAAAATGCAAATTGGTCCCACTGAAACCATTGTTGAAGGCTAAAGTAAAAAGCTAAAGTCACTAAGTATCCTTCAGCCCATTGGAAATAAGTAGGTGTGATTCCTCAGAGAGAGGACGGAAATTAAGCTTAAGTATGTGCCTGATTTCAAAATGGCCACAGAGCGCACACGGATGAGGCGAATTGAGAACAATTTTGTGTCATTTAGAGACTCACTTGAGGCAATTGACACTTGTTGGCTCATTAAATGAAGAAGACACCTCAAATTGCCAAAGGTGTTATAGGTCTGATCAAAACAAAAGACAAAACACAAAAGAGGAGAAAGAAAATGGAGCGGGGAACAGGGTCTAGCATTTCAATGAAAACAAAACAGCAAATGCTTACTGCATCTTTCTCTGTGTTTAAAGTCACATACAAAGAAAAACACCCACCTTTGCAATCTTAGAAATAAGTGTTTTAAATGGATATTTCTTATTTGGAGATTCTTTTGGGACCATTTCTGCAGCAGACACGAGTCCATGTAAACAGAACAGTGCAACATTCTCACAATTAACTTAAATTAAGCATTACAGCATTAGCAGTGCATTTTTTCTTTTTTGTTTAATTCTTTGCACTCTTGTCACTGAGGAACAACACATGAATATATGACATGACAGGTGTAGAAATCCAGATTAAATGTGTAGTTAAAACATTAAGATTAGAAAACAAGATGCAGGTGAGTGGGTCAGAGCATTTCTGTCTACTACTTGTAAATGTACAGCTCGGAGATTTCAACCTCTACTCCGCAGCAGCAGGCTTCTTGAAGCATCAGATTCAAGTCTGTAACTCAATTAAAAATTAACTTGTTTTCTTCTCATTTGAGAGCGGGGAAAAAGTGCATAGAGTAAACACAAGGACCCAGCATGCAACAGCAGGGTGTACATAAAGTTGAACTGACAGAACTAAATCGAGAGCCTCAAACACAATTTGACTGGAAAAAGATAAGGAGGGAGTTGAAGCAGGCAGAAAGAAAAAGAAAAACTGAGAGAAACAAGAAGCGAGAAACCAAGAGGTGAAGATATTGGAAACAGGAACAAGAAAATGTTCTCCACTAAGGGGCTTCATTTTCTTTTCTTTTTCAATTGGCAGCTTCAAAGGAATATAAATAATTGAACACCCTCACCCCATCACTGAGAGTTCTGGCCAATTACTATTAGAAGTCCTTTGCCAAGAAAGCAACATTTGAGAACTCTTAACAGGCAAAGAGAAAGGAGGAGGAAAAAGTGAGGAGGAGGTGAAATGCCTTAAAAAAAAGATGACAAATACTCTGGTTTACCTGTTAAAAAAATATTAGCAGAGAGTAAGAAAAAGTTTGGGGTTTCTATATACAAAAGAACAAAATAAAAGAATTCAAACTTTGAACTTGAGCGTAAAACAGTGTGCTTCTCAACAGGAAGTAACAAAAACCAAACTTATTTCTCCAAATGAAAGGAGAAAAAAATCCACATGAATTCTATCTGAAGATGTGACAAAACAATGTTTTCACACCTGCAATTGTATTGCAATATCAATACAATTGATAAAGACATAGTCACAAAAAATATAATATGGCATCACTTCTACAGCTGAAGTTTAAACATGAAAACTTTTTTATTTATATAGGGGTACCCAGGTAGCATGTTTGATTTAGCCATTTTCCCCCCTTTTTGAACACCGGATACTCTTCCTGACGTGGCTCCAAAGGGATCTGTATCTCCTCCAGGGACTGAACCAGGATCCCTTTGCTTGTTAGCTGAATCTGTAACCAACTGCACTACAGAGCCAACCAGAGGTTTACAAAATTGTAAACACTTCTCATTAGAGCCCAACTCACAAGTAATGTGTATGTATATAAATTATTTGTGACAATCAATTTCAGCAAGTTAATAAACAATGACCCCATTATGTCCCCTTTTAATCATGTCATTCATGCTTCTAAAGAGTCCAACACGCTGACAGTGTTGTTCGTTTTTTTAAACCCTTATATCGGTAAAGTAGGCCTCTATTTTGGGTATCAACAGAGACTCTTTCTAAAGGAAAACAGCCTGCCCTTTTAACCAGAACTGTCTGATATAGTTAAAGCTTTATATTCTTTGTGCTGGATGCTTTTCTACCTTTAATCGTGACTTTAAAGCATTCTATAAAGATATGAAAAATTACTCAATCGTTAACTACATTTCTTTTGTCACTGGTGTGGTCTTTGTATCATCAGTGTCTGAGAATTAATTGGCTTGATTAAATGAACTAAAAAAATACCCAAGAGCTCAAACAAATTAAAAATAAAGAAAATCACATGTAAGCAAAAGTATTGTTGTTGGATGATACTGGCCTAATACAAATGTTATACTTCTATAGTTTATCATTATCTTACAGCTACCTGTGAAAAGGCTCAGGTGTAACTCTACGCATAAGCATATTTCAAACTTTGCACACACACACACACAGACATTTACATTTGTGTACCTGAACATAAATGTATGCAAATATAGACATTCACACAAGCCAAGCATTATTATGGTTGGGGTGGCAGGATTTATTGAGCCATATTTCTTTCTCTTTTGATTAAAAATGTCTCCTTCTCACCGTGATTTATGAGTGTAAATAAAAGGAATGGAGGGCAAGGGGAGATGGAGAGAGAGAGAGACAGAGAGAGAGAGAGGGGAGGGACGTGAGAGGTGGGGATGACATCATGCTTTCAGTTGGGCTTTTCTGCAAAACGGTGGCATCCTTTCAGTCCAGCAAGTGGGAGTGAAAATAATTGGACAACTGCACTACTGGGCTGTGTGTGTCTGGCCATGAATGTGGGGGTGAAAGCCATTCAAAGGGAGGAGAGGAAGGTAGCCTGTGCTTTTGTGCATATATTTCCAAGCATAATAGTGCGGCCCCCAAAAGAGATGAGAAAAAGGAGTAGGACAGCATGCATATATGTGCCTGTGTGTGACTGTGTGTGTCTTTTTTACTCCCAAAAAGGGAGAACAACAACAACAACAAAAGTACAAGCTTGTGAGTGAAACAACAGGACAGGGCGAGGAAGTCTGACAAAAAACAGCAATCTCATCTACAGACGGCATCGACAAAGATGGGCAGAGAGCCCTACTGTTTTGAGACAGTGAGAGGGTGGGTGATGGCAGTGGGGTACGGGGGGCTAATCTCCATCAAAGATGAAGCAGATTGCACTGATTGTTATTTAAACCAGGGCGAGCAAACAGAGGCTGCGCGAGGGAGAAACGCAGTCGTAATAAACAGTCGGCGAGTGGACAGAAGACAAGAACATTCTAATGAGCCACATATTAAGTTCAGGGGCTCTAAGACGTTTACTTTCGCTCCGCATTCGTCTGTGGCCTCACTGTCAGTGAGAACAAAGACATCTGTTTGACATCTGTCGGAGTGCAGTTTTAGATATTTTTTGCCAGCTGAGCTGAAAGACACTCCAATTATGTTACCAGACAGTCAAACCACTGTGCAATCAAAGGTTCGCCTCTGTTGGAACATGAGGAAAATCAAGCAATCGTGTCATCATGAACCACTAAAAACAAATTCATTGAATGTCAAATTGGAGATAAAAGAAAATGCGGAGCAAACAGAGTGGAAAATACAATATCCCTCTTAAATTGTTCAAGGTAGACAACAAAAGTCAGCAATGACTGTGAAATAACGTGTCTAATCTGTTACTTCCCATTTTAAGGACTTATCACTGACATATTCCAGGGCTAATACACAAACATTTAGCTCATAGAAATCTCGCTATGTACTCTGTTACTAACTATGGAGGACACTGCATACAGACAAATACAATGCCTAAATTAGGCAATTATTGTGTGATATTAATCTTTTTATATGAAAATAAGTGCATTGTCAGAACATTATCCAAATATCGAATACCCACACAATGACTTACAGCCTATCCAAACAGGAAGCATCTTAGCCAAGTTATTCTATCATGACAATGCTATCTAACATCATACTTTCTGGTGGATATTGGGTAGGTTGTTTATAAAGTCAGCGGTTTGATCCCTGCCTCTTCCAGTCTGCACGTAGAACTATCCTTGGGCATGACACTGAACCCCAAGTTAACCCTGGTGTATCCATGAGTGTGCACATGAATTTTAGAATTGGTTAATGTGGCTATATACAAGGAGAAGTCCATCTATCACTTAAACAACACCTCTGTCTGTATAAGCCGTGTTTTACACGTGGCTCCAGTGATGTAAACATACAAGTGCCCTGTAATTCCAGTAGTGGAATTTACTGCCTAGTCCACGTTTGCATAGACACAAAAACACAGGCCAAAGGATTACCGCTACAGCTAAATGAATATGGCTTTGGTTTTACAAATAAGCTTTTTCTTTCCTCTGGCTACTCTAAAGCAGTCCCACCTAGATAAGATGTAAACAGTCATTAGCATGCAATCTTTAAATACAAATGTGCAGTCGCAAAATGCAACAAAAGCATCTTGGAGGTGCTCAAAGTAAAAAAAAAAGGTTCACCAAAGCTTATATAATGTCCCTCTCTCCCCCCTTTTTTGTGATTACTCCACTTTTTAATAAGTTTGCAGATATGAGTGATGAACCTGTTAAAGGCACTAAAATTGAGAAGTTGTCAGTTTATTGGTACTTACTGGCGTTGGAGCCGGTGAGCAGCAGTGATAGCAGCAGAGTGATCACAGGCAGCAGGACTTGCAAGGAGATGCGCAGGGCACCACTGGTGGCCATCTTGGCTCTGGTAGGGAAGGGGGAGGGGGAGGGGGAGGGTAGGGTCGGAGTGACCTTTGACCTGGCCGGAGAGCCGAGGCCCCAACTGCACGAGGACGTGTGGGGTCTTCAAGCAGGACAGCTTGACGCTCTGCAAAACACAGAATAGGGAATAAATATGAATAAATAAAAGTGATGAACCCACAAACACTTGTTACCTATATTACTTTGTAACAATCAGATTTTGTCACAGTACATTAATCATTATACTTCTTAGCATTTATATTCTATGAAACTAAAGTGTCATAACAATTTCACTGTTGCAACAATTCCATATTAAACCTCCAGTTCCACAATGGTGGTTTTGCCCACAGCAAAAGAACACAGGTCACGACAGTCTGCTGCATTTTCTACAATCCCTCATTGGCGGTAACGCATAAATGGAAGAAGGTAACAGGTTATCAGTGGCACAGCTGGGAGTAAAGGCGCCACATCCCCAAACCTTTAACATTCCGATCTCACAACCACTGTTTTCTCACATCCCTCAATTAGCAGGGCAGGGCTGCCGCTGCTTTCTTTCTTCTTCGCCTCCTAATCGCCTGATCTTGTCGTTATTTGCTTATCTCACCGCCTTGTAATTATACAGGCACCTGACGATATCCCAGGCATCGTCTCTTTGTTTTACTCAAATTGCCATTAATCCCCCAAGCTGCACAGAGAGACCAAGGAACCCAGGATGACACCCACTACACTCCCACCCACACAGGCACTCCTCTTCTCATTGATATGGCTGGTGCTGCGCACAGACACCACCAAGTGGTAATACATACTCTTTAATTAACAAGATATGCATAAAGAGACACACAAAGACAGAACTAGGAGCAATCACGACATGAATGTGATGAATATGTGCTGACATACTTTTACCACTTACAGAGAGATATTCAGTGTCATGCTCAAGGACGCTTAAACGCAAAGCTCTGTCTGTCTCAGCAATCAAGCTGTGAACATGAAAACCCAAAACCGTGCGCTCTCAGAGGACCCAGATCAGAGGACAAAGTGTCAGCCAGCATCTGCCCTGCTTTGGTGTCCTTGTGCAAGACGGTGAACTCCCCCAAGCTCCAGGGATTCTGCTTAGCTGAGGTGACACAAGGGGTGGCAGCGATTTACTAGAAGGGAGATTAACTACCTTGCACTGTAGGTGGTTAACAAGGGTACAACTGAACTAATTGTGTAGACGACGTACAATTTATCACTGTTTTTGTTTTGTTTTTTGGCAACACGTTGATCTTTGATATATTTGAACAATAATTTTCTAAATGTCCCTGAAAAAAGCATTTTTACCTGCTTCACAGCTCAGGTTTTAATGAAAGAGGTATTATTCAACTACAGAGGCCAAATAAGGGAACGAATATACTTAAAAAAAACATTCAGATGGATTCAGGGTCAAAAGCACATTGGCACACAAGCCATCATGGAAGTTCAGGGATGCATCATTTCAACGCGTACTACACTTCATCACTTAACCTCATTGTATCATGTCTCAGTTATCTTGGTGACCTTTTATTGGGAGTAGAAGACTGAGATACAAAAGCTTCCATTACCTTAATTCAATGAAATAAAACGAATAAGTAAAAACTAAAATAAATAACTTAAACAGATTAAAATGAAATTAGACAACCCTACCTACAGGTTTGCGATTTATGTCAAACAGTTAAATTCTCAGGAGAGTTAAGAAGGTTAATATAATGCAGCTGTTTTGCTGGGCTCCATTTTTTGACTGTGGCCTTGTGAGAGGCAGAAAACCAGGGCTAATTGCAGTGTAACCGAGCACCCCAGACAGCAGGCATTTAAGAGTGCCCCACCCTTCACAACTCCTGGACCAGTCTCACATAGCAGACACACGCTGCTGCAGGCGCACTGAAAATTAAGCCCCAAACACATAGAGCCAAATCCATATATAACACAAAATCTATTCACCTCTAAACCCCCCAGTCCTCCCTATATGTAATGAGCAAGAATGTGGAAAATATGTAAGAAAAACATGGCGCAGGCACACTTACAAAAACACAAAAGGCGCGATTAACAATAGGCCTTTTGTGGCGACACCATACCAAGAAAGAGTGGGTGTTTTTCAGAAGCTCAGCTCATCTTTCAACACAATACTACACGCACACGACCAACATGTGTCCTCGCTTTTTTTTTTTTTTTTTTGCCGGGGGGGCCGTTGTTTTCTTTGTTAGGACTGGGTTAAATTCCCCTTAACCGGGGGGATTGGGGGGGAGTAAAAAACAGTCTAGAAGTTATGAATGATGGCTTTATTGTTCTGACTTTAAACACTGGGGTTGACAGAGAGAATCTCGTGTATCTGTAGGGAATAACTCTCTGTTCACAACATGCCTAACTTGTGATTTATGGGTCTCCCCTTAGGACATGGCTTACTATCATCACCTCTGGTTGCCATATAAACTTCACAACACAACTACATCAGCTATTGTTGTTGAACAGCCTCACCAAACATAGCCTAAAACCATATGGGTGCTGGAGATTAACCATGGACGCTGGGTATAGTGCTTCATTCTGCCTTCGTTTTAATAAATGGAAGACAGAGATTACACAGACAAGTGTGCATGGAAAGATGAAAGTTGTCTAAAAAGAGGGGATAAAAAGTCAAAGTAAAATATTTGGGCTAGCATGCACCACCAGAAATGAACTTTAGCATGTCTTAGTAAACTAACAGGGCGATAGGAAAAAGGTATTTCCTTCATATCTCCCATAGGTGTTCATATGTGTAGGGACTAATAGGCATAAAATTCACACCATTTGTAGATGGGAGTGTGGTCAATGTGCAAGAGACCACTCAGGTAATTACACAAAATACACCTGTACTGATGTTTACCACGGCCATTAACTCCAAGCTGGCAAATATCTGTAACTTTACCCACAATCTGAAGGTAACACAGCAAATGTTAGTTAGCGTGCTCCGGTGTAGTTACTGTTTATGTTAATTCTAATTTTTATTTCTAAAATGTGTTGATCTGTGAATCTAGATGTAAAAAGCGACTGAATAAGGAATCTATTGTATCTAAGTATTTGCAAGTAGATAAGACCCAAACAGAGAGTAGAATATCACAAGACTGTCTGACACACATGTATCATTCATCAGTGAAAATCCCCTTTGAAGTAAACTAAATTAAAAAGTGCTGCACACTTTTTGATTAAAACCCATACAGAGACAAAGTCTATTCATTACTTTGGGCTATTCCCACTGATGGGCAATGAATATATTTTGAAGCTAGAACTTTTATCCCATGTGAAAACTGCCCATCACTTGAGATATTAACCCAGAGCCAAGCTTCAGTAATTACAGCCAAAATGGCAGCACAATTTCCACTGAGTGGTGGCAGTCACTGGCTATTAGGGACTCTCACTTTGACATGGTCAAGCTTTAAATTCGGCTCGTTTCCCCATGCAATATTGATACTAATGCATTTGATTACTAAGATTGAGAAAGGCACTGAGGGGAAGGGAAGATGGGAATCCACGCCATAAGCATGAAATGAGAGTATGACAAGTTAATATAAAAAGTGCGCATATGCACACACGCACATAACCACACTGCACTGCAAAAAGTAAAAAAAATAAACAAAAAGCAGAAATGAATCCTTAAAAAAAATAAAGTTACAGGTATGTAAGCATATGGAGACCACGAGAGTCACAACTTCAATACAAGATGTTTTTATCCACTCATGCACTGTACTGTTACAAAGATAGTAACTGTAATAAACACACAGATACACACACACACACACTGAAGATGTGAAGTTGCATTTACACTGAGAAAAACTACTTATAACCTGAGGGACCACATTAATAATCCCTTTTATGTGATGAACAGTAAGCTCACTTCAGACACACGGTTAAAAAGACCACAGTTTGGTTGGGCTTCGCAATCAAAACCGAGTGTTTGATGTCTAGACTCTCAAAAAGAATAATATTTTCAGTATTTGTACTCCAAAAAGTAACTCTGGGGGCTTTAGAAAGAGTGAGTTTTTCATAGATTGCCAGGTTTCCAGAACGCCTGTAACACAGTCTAATTTTGCCAGGCTGTAGAACACTGGCAGCTCACCATCCGTCCAAAGACAACGATCAATCTACTGCAAAACAGCCTATACATATATATTTAACTCAGTCATTGCTGACATAACATTAACAACACATAACAACACAAGCGTGATCAAAACTTTTCTAATTCCTGCAACAAATTACTAGTAATTTTAATATGTCAGTTTTTAACTATTAAAAAAAAAAAACAACTGAGGGAGATATGTTAAAGAAGAAGGAAATGCTGGATTCAAATGAACACGACAGGGCAGATGCCAGCCCCTCCCGTAGGATGATGATAACAGAAACAACAGCAGCAAAAAGAATCCTTTTCCATCACTCTCATGCTCAAACTGTGCTAGTTGCTCTTTATGCTTAGCCTTCAAGCTGCTGTCTCTCTCTCTGCAGTCTTTCACCTTAGATGAAGTTTTTATGCGTCAGCCTCGTGTTACAGGCTTTTACTTCAGCCACTTTACTGCTTTTCATTGATTCACACCTTATAGAGGAGCAACAACACAAGGATGCAAGACGCTGGACATTCAGCTGATCAGGAGCCTGTACTTGTGTATGAATGCGATTGAGCGTTGTATGAGTGACACTATGTTTGCAAGCCCGAAGGACTTTATTTAATCAAACTAAGATCTGCATATTCTGCTGTTTCTTTGTATGCGTTTGTGGAATGATTTAAGTATGAATGCCCATATAGTTCTTCCTTCTGTGAGTTACTCTATATGTCTGTCTCTGTAAGAAGCACAGCTACACAAGACACTCGCCCAGGCCTGAGCTATAAAACAAGTCTATAGAGACCATCTGTTTTTTACCACGCTGAAGTCCTAACTGTATTGATTCCATATGTCACTGGTAAGGAACACCACCAACCAGCTACACACACACACACAGACACGTACTCATCCCCTGTATCTTATTAGTTTTCTGCATCAGAATTTTATGCATATTAAGGGCAAATCTGAGATGAGGGTGTGAAGAAAGGTGTGTTTGTCTTCTAAATATTTCCTGATCAGACAAGTCATCATCCCAATCTTCTAC